CTGGATGTCCTCAGTTTGGGCTAAATCGCTACGACCTGTAATTAACAACCACACACGACCTCGCGTGTGCCTTCCGTCGAATTTCAATTCTGTTTCTTTGTGTGAAGTGTATTCAGATGTGGATTTTCCCTTTGTTAATGTCACATGCAGAACTACATCTTTCTCCCTACGGGAAAAAAAAAAATAATTAAAAAAAATAATAATAATGGCATTGAGTGTGGCGAGTACCAGATGGGGAAATCCACCCTGGATTTTATTGCAGTTTGGGTTGAAAAAAAATGTAGGCATTTGATAACAGCGTGGCTCTGTTCACTAAGAAGCCTTGATATTTCTAAACTTGCTGGCAAAACAAAAACTGAAAAAGAAGCTGGTTCCATAAATTGAGACTAAGTTTGTCTGATCTCACAGGCTTTTGTCCTGCCAACTAAAAGCCTGCCCACAGTGGACAGACTGGTTAAAGAAGAAAAAGAAAAAACACCAACAATCTGCAGCCCACACTCAGGAAATTTATTGCTGTGCATACATCTTTTCCACAAACCTTCGTCGCCACTACAAACAGCTTTTTAAAATCAACAGGTTTTGCTGGATTATCAACATGTCATGAATTAGCAATTACGATGGCACCTTTTAAAAGATCCAGACATCTTTTATAGTTAGTATTACACGTGAACGAGTTCTAGATTGTGCTTGGCTGTCTTCATCGACTCACATTAAAAACAATGAGACTCCCGATAGTAAAAAATTTGGTCCGGTAAAATGTAACCAACTAAAGCAACCAACCAGTCCATGCAGGATTACTTATTAAGGGTGAAAACCCCCCAAAACAGACAGTGCTTTGATGTGATATTGGCTTTCATTGGTTTGGTCACTACAATTTCTTCATTTTGTTGTCACTCATAAATTAGGGATAATATTAGCTAGCACCCGACACTGCTCTGAGGTAGTTTTATCCAAGTCAGTAAATAAAAAGCCAAGTTGTTCACAAGACTAAAAATGCTTGGAAAAATACAAATAAAAAATACCCACAAGTCTTGCATGATTGGATTCATATAGTTCAGCTTAATGGTAATGGCTTGGTTAAGTTCTGTAACGGCTCTCCTCAGTCTAGATCTGATTTACTACGTCATCCAGCCTAACCCTGAATATCCACCTGGATGCAGATGTGTCACCTGTCAATGCCACAGCTGCCAGATTACTGTGTGCTTTTCTGCACCCTGCTGGTTGCCAGAGGAGCTTAGAAGTTCACTTGTGAATGCACAGAAATAGCTATATTCAATTATAATTTATAGACAAGAGATTAGGATAAAATGGCATCCAGCAGGCAATGATTTAAAAAAGTGCAGTTCGAGCATAGCAAACCATCTACTTGACATTAAAATATTCCGTGGATAAGGAAAATTCAAGTGCTAATAAAATGACTGGGATTGATCCTTTTATGACCAAGACATTTTCCTGGCCATTTTTCCACTAGATGTTTAATTAGAAACAAAGTAGTACAGCCAACACTGTAATCTTGCACTCCCGTTGCTTTGCCTTCAGTCACACAGGTCCAGAGAGTGGTTGGTGATCCCTGGAAACCTCAAGTGGCCAGGGAAAAATGTTTATTCCCAACTAGTTGTTAAGTGGTTGCTGGAAGTTCCTGGCTGTCACCAAAACCTTTCTAGTGAATAGTTTGGTTGCCTATATTTTGCATGGAACATCCCAACTTGTCTGCAAACACTTGCCAATTAACCACCGAGTAGTAGTGAAACTGTGAAAAGTGCGATGCAAAACAAAAACTGTCATAGTAAAAGTGAAATTTTAGCTGAAATCAACACGTTTTAAAAGTCACATCCTTTTGCTTTGACGGCAAACCATCACCATTTCCAGTTTGTGTCGCACTTTTCACATTTTCACTACTGCTCGATGGTGGTTGCTAAGTGTTTGCAGACAAGTTGGCATCTCCCATGCAAACTAGAAGCGACCATGGAAATGTGCTAGCAACCAAACAAGGAGAATTTTGGCTTAGCGCTGTATATACCCCTTTGCAGCCAACTTGACCTAGTGACCGCAAAAAACAAAACAAAAAACAAATAAAAAGAAAAAGAAACTTCCAGCAACCACATTGAAAAATGGTTGCCAGGCAGTCTCCAACTGGTCTCTAGGCCTGTGTGACTGATGTCTTAAACACATCCAAGGTAAAGTGAATGAAACAGCTGCATCCAATGGAATTGAAAAGGTCTTTCCTTATTGGTACACCACTGGAATTTATACTAATTGTTGACACTTGTAGCTAAAACAAGAATACAGGCAAACTTTATGGATACCAAACTGGCATCAAATGGTTACAGATAATTGAGTGGACATTGGCATAACTGTCAGAGACAAAAAGTGATGCTTATTTAGAAAAAAAAAAATCTATGTCAAACAGGAGCGGGATGTTATGTATATGCCATGTATATCATAAAAGGTCAGTTATAGATC